TTAGTGAGATTGTCTCAAAATAAAAAAGGGTTTGGCATGTTGGTCAGTGGTTAAGCACACGTGGGTTCAATCCCCACCCCACCCCCCCAAAAAGAAAATATTGATCTAGCTTAGAGTCTGAATCCTGGTTTCTGGGTCACTTCTAGATTACAATCCTTATCTTCAGTGATTGTCTTTTATTGGCAGCATCCAGGAGATCAAAGGAGCAGAGTTTGGGGCTGGTAGAACTGCTCTGCCCCTCTTGAGGCCCTACTCCACTTCTCCCAAAGTGGCCCAGTTGGGTTAGATCTCGGGTAGGATTTTCTTAAGCTCCCAAGACTTTGCCACCAACAAAATTTTAAAGTGATTTAACTTCAGCCACACATTCTCAATTCCCATTAATAGTTCCCTAAAGCAGGAAATGGTTTTGGTAAGCCGGGAAACCACCAAATGAAAAACGAGCTCTCTGCAATTTCAGAGTCATGTGACTCACAAACTAGAATGTTTAACTCAGAATCATGAAGGCAAACTCCATTGACAAAAAATCCCTGTTTAAACTGAACTTCACACTTTTCTAAACCTAAGGTTGATGGAGATCGAGTGGCAGGGCTGGGGTGACCATCCTTGCCTCCAACTTCAGGCCTACTTGGATAGAGACCCAGGAGTGGGGACAAAGGGGCTGCTTAGAGCTGGGACAGGGGAAGGGCTGAAGGAGAATAAATGAAATCCCCTGCCCTCCAGGAGCATTCTGATTTGATCTCGGGTTCACTCTTGCTCTTAGCTGTTTGTTGAGCTTCTACTATGCATTCCAGACTTTCTTCTCTCTAATTCATGCCTGCAGCTTCAGGAAGCATCATTTATTCCCACTTCACAGTTGAGCAGAGCAAGGCTCAGGTGCTAGTAGGTGACCCACGATCGTGCTGGTGATGCCAGAACCTGCCAGATTGACACTTTCCCCACTCGTCCTCAGTCCTGACTAAATATTAGAACCAGTGCTTGGACCCTTCCCCAGCCCGGAAATGAGTGTCTTTAGAAGATCTCCAGGTACCTCTCCTGTGCAGCCTGGGTTGGGTGTGGCTACTATGCACCTCCTCTTCCCATACTTTGCAGTGTGCCCAAATCCTCGGAGAATCTTGTAAAAATGATGGCTGAGTCCACAGTTAGGGGATGGGGACAAGATTCTGCATCACTATTAAGCTTTTAGTTGGTGCTCTGCCACTCGCTCACTGCACACCACATAACACAACTTTGGCATCTGCTGTTTCCAATTTACTGCATCTACCAGGTGATTCTGAAGGCCCCTGATGAGTAGGGATTCAGGACTCTTTCATTTTGGCTGAAGCCTGGTATTATTTTAAAGATAGGAGCTTGGGATCACGAGCCCCTGTTTTATTTTGTCTTCACAGTGCTGGGGATTCAAGCCTAGGCCTTGCACATGCTAGGCAAGTGCCCTACCACTGAGCTACTCCCCAGCCCAGGAGCCCCTTTTAAAAATAGAGGATGAACCCAGCTTCAGCTGAAGGCAGGACAGGCTGTTTAGTTGTCTGCCCCTCCATCCTGACATCCATTCTCTGTGTTGTGTTAGGGGAATAGTGGTCTCTGAGACTTCAGGTGAATGTTGGTTGTTTTCAGAAAATTTCATGACATTTGAGGCGCTTGTGGTCAGACCAGGCTGAGCATGTTCTCCATACCCCCCACCCAGCCAACTAGGGGACAGGTCTCAAAGGGACTGAAGGGAGATGGGTGGGGGAGTAGATCTGGGGAGGTAGGGCCAGGCCTGAAATCTAGACCTTCCAAAAGCCATCTAGTCCTGATAGTATCACTAACTTGTTTTGTAGCCCTGAGTGACTCATTGACCCTATGTGGGTTTCAACTGCTTAAAGCTATATAGTTCACTATGGGATCAGCAAGTCTCCTTTTTCTATTTAAGTTAAAATTTTAAAAAAATTTAAGGGGCTAGGCATGGTGGCACACACCTATAATCATAGGATTCCAAGTTTGAAATCAGCCTCAGCAACTTAGCCAGGAAGATCCTAACTCAAAATAAAAATGAAATAAAAAGGGCTGGGAATGTGGCTCATTGGGTAAGCACCCTTGGGTTCAAACCTCGGTATAAAAACAAAATGGCCGGAGAGTACCAGGGCTCTGATACATGCTAGACCCATGCTTTACCATTGAGCTATACCCTCAGCCCCTTTTATTTTTTTGAGATGGGATCTGACTAAGTTGCTTAGGGTCTCCCTAAGTTACTGAGACTGGTCTCAAACTTGGAATCCTCCTGCCTCAGTCTCCAGAGTCCCTGAGATTACAGACATGCACTTCTGCACCCAGCAGATAAAATTAGCCACATTCCAAGTATTCAGTTGTCACATGTGTTTAGTCCAAAGACAGAGCAGATTTAGAATAGTAAAAAGTTCTACTGATAATGCCGAGTTAAAGGATTTTTTTAATATTTATTTTTAGTTATAAGTGGACATAATATCTTCATTTATTTTTATATATGGTGCTGAGGATCGAACCCAGTGCCTCACACATGCTAGGGGAGCTCTCTACCTCTGAGTCACAACCCCAGCCCAGGTTAAAGGATTTTAAATAGGAACCAGGCAGCTGATATGCATGTGGCTGCTCAGGTATAAGATAATAGGAAGTGCCTGGGACTGTGGTGAGCAGAAAAGTTTGTGCAGCTTGCCAGTCATGCTGCTGCAAGTCTATAATCCCAGGAACTCAGGGAGGCTGAGGCAGGAGAATCAAAGTTCAAGGCCAGCCTCAACAAATTAGGGAGAGACCCTCAATGACTTAGCATTTCCAAAAAAAGGACTGAGGCCTGGGGATGTAGCTTACTGGTGGAGCACCCCTGGGATCAGTCCCCAATACCACAAAAAGTAAGAACAGGGGTGTAGCTGCTACTTGGCTCTTGCCAACTTTGCCACCTGGAAATGTGGATGTTGTATTGCTGGTCTCCAAAATCTTCAAGAGAAGCAGGAATTCAGAGCTTGAAAAAGTTCATGATTTGGTTTTGGGGTTTTGTGTTTCTTTGGATTGAACTCAGGGGTGGTCTACACCCTAGTCCTTTCTGTTTTTTGAGATTGTATCTCACTGTGCTCCTGAGGCTGGCCTCAAACTGTGATCTGCCTGCCTTGGCCTCCTGAGTTGTTGGGATTATAGGCATGTGCCACCATGCCCAGCTAAAATCTCATAATTGTGACACAAACAAACTGACAATTTATAGGTTGTGTGGATCAAGCAAAACTGTTCTCGGTCTCTCTTCCAGTTTTGATTCTGTAATTTCGGGGCTTTTGCCTATTTGTCCTGTGAGAAACCACTTTAAAACCATCTTACTTTCATTGTTCCCCAAATGGAAAACTGCCTGAGTGAATAAATGAAGAACCACTCATTTTGGTGGTGACTTCAGAAATATGTGGTGCCTGAGGATGCAGCTCAGCAGTAGAGTACTTACAAACAGGGCCCTGGATTCCACCCTGATATCACAGAGCAAAGACTCGCCATTCCTGAAATGGAATGGCGAGTCTTTGCTCTCTGATATCAGGATGGAATCCAGGGCCCTGTTGTATGTATGATTTCAGACACGTTGCTCAGAGTAATAAGCAGGAGCTTATTAGAAGGGATAGGAAAAAGTAAAAAGGGGCATGCTCTCAAGAGAGTGGGGGTCCTCTCAGGAGAATGCACACCCCTGCCGCCCACCAATTTTAATGGGGGCCCCAGGGAAGGCAGCATTGCACCAGATGTCCATACTTTGTATGGTCTTACCCTGAGAGGGGAGATTTTACATTATAATGACCTGCTGAAGATCTAGAGGCAACTTTGAGTGAGCTAGGCCCACACTGACCAGTTGTAATTGGAACCAGTTAGGGGGAATTACCCTTATCTCCCTGAGTTCAGGGATCTGGTCTGTGTAAGGGTCACAGAAGTGCCCCTTCCCCAGGGTAACTGTGTTCAGCATTCTTCCTGCAGATCACAGGTATTTGCTGAGGAATGTAGCATTTCTTAAGCTAGATGGGGCTGCCGGTAGTTTATTCTTTGAAAGAAAGCATGTGGGGTTAGCATGATAGACCCAGTTTATAGAATTATCCCCTTAACCTCATGTTCCCAAGGCTCACATTTATCTGTTACCTACCACCCAATATCCACGCCCCCCCCAAAAAAAAAAAAATTACAGTCAGACGTTTCCTTCTAAGGACAAGGCTTAGAGTTGGGTAGTAAACTTGATTTCCTTTGCTGACTCACAAAAACATGCCCAGAGTCCAAGGGGTGCCGGATGTAGGGATGGGCATTAGGTCATGTGTGTGATGTTCCTGAACAGGCCAGCCTCTGGATGAAACTACCCGGATATGGAGGCAGGTAGCCTGGGGTGGGTGGAATACAAAAATTATTTACCCCCTTTTCCCTTCCCCGATCCCATAACAACAGGGTGACAACAGACCAGAAAGCGAACTAGAGGCAAAGACTAGAATGACTGGTTGTTACCAATCTGGGTGATTCTATGGGAGCATCAATTCAGTCAGGGATCCCTTCCCTGGTGGATCACGTCTCACCTGTTCACCCCAGGATTGCTTAACGCTCAAGGAAGGGGAGGGGTGCAGAAAAAGATCCTGCAGATATTCTTTGGCCGCGGGCTAACACTTTATATTGCCTGGCTTTTGGGATCCCCTGAAATAAAAGCTGCCTGCCTCTGGAGGAGCCAGAGAGCCCTGCAGAGTGGCCGCTTCCCCCTGTGTGCTGGGAGAGGCTACATCGCTGTCCCCATAGACGGATCTACACTTCAGCTGGAGGTAGCTCTAACTCTGTGCACCTAGAGGGGAACCTTTTGATTGAACTTTTTGATCTAACCTTTTGTGGATGGGCTCTGGAGTCCTGGGTGGGAAAGATGGGAGTGGGGACAGGAAATGGGAGGCGTCATTTGAGCTGAAAAATGAAGGGCCACCCCTAGGCCATCTTTAGACTGGGGCCTGCTTCATCCCAGGTCCCCTATGCTTATTTTGTGTTGTCTTCCCATCTGTCTGTCAGAGCTCTGTGCTTAGAAGTCACCATGGCAACTGAAGAGTCCATCATCCGCATCCCCCCATACCACTACATCCATGTCCTGGACCTGAACAGCAATGTGTCCCGGGTGGAGATCGGGCCAAAGACCTACATCCGGCAGGATAATGAAAGGTTGGTGTGGGGCCAAGAAGGGCGCATTGGTCGCTGCCCTGTTCAAAAACTTGGGTGGCAGGGAGCTTTCTCCTGTTTGCTGTTTCCTCTGGGAACGGGGACCTGGATCTTCACACCCCTTTTCGCCTTCTAACAGGGTGCTGTTCGCCCCCGTGCGCATGGTAACAGTCCCCCCACGCCACTACTGCACAGTGACCAACCCTGTGTCCCGGGATGCCCAGGGCTCCGTGCTGTTCGATGTCACAGGGCAAGTACGGCTTCGCCACGCTGACCAAGAGATCCGGTTGGCCCAGGACCCCTTTCCCTTGTACCCAGGGGAAGTGCTGGAAAAGGTACTTGGCTTGCTTCCCATCCCCCACTCTGCCTGTCCTAGGGCTCTGCACTGTCTTCTGAGGGGACAGTGGGAAGGGCTGGGAGGGACATTTGCTGGTTCTCACCAGGGCAGAATTGACTCGCTGTCTTTCTACTCACCTTTCCTGCCCCCTGCTTCCTCCTCTGTGTCCCCAGCCTACCCTCCTCTCCTGTCTCCACTGTGGAGCCTTGGGGAGCTTCCCCTCCATCAAGTGGACACGATGAAGCCCAACCCATCCTCTGTCTCCTGAGGCTCTGCTCACCTCTCAGTTCTCTCTCCTTTCCATCTCTAACTTCTTAGCTGGGTATCCTAGCAACTCAGAAGGTTGAGGCAGAAGGATCACAAATTCAAAGCTAACCTCAGCATTTAGCAAGACCGTCAGTAACTTAGTGAGACCCTGTCTCAAAATATAAAATGGACTGGGGATGTGGTTCAGTGAGAGAACTCCCCTGGGTTCAATTCTCAATACCCAAAAAAAAAAAAAAAAGCCAGTTCCCAAACTTCTCCTTCAAGTGAGTTTCTGCAGAACCACCCTCTCGACATCTGTAGCCTGGGGAGAATAGTCCTGCCTTATCTCCCTGCTGGAACTGAAACTTGTTGAAGACAGAGGCTGTGTCCTCAGTCACGATGACCAGAGTGTCCTGTGTATGGGAGGTGAACAGAGAAAGGGAGACTCTAGCCAGTGTGTGGCCAGAGGGCAGAGTGGTTACTCCATCTTCCACAGCTCAGGGCCAGTTTAGTTGGAGTCAGGAGAGCAGGCAGGATTCCCTAGGATTCAAGTCTTGATTCCATTCTTTACTGGCTGTGTGACCTTGATCGTGTCTCCTAATCTCTGTGATCCTTTTTTTTTTTTTCTTTCCTGTCTCTCTCAGAACATTGTCAAATATCAAATGAAGGCATGTTTGTAGAGACCTTTCTACAAACTTTTAGAAGGTGCATCTACTTTTTTTTGCCAGGTTCCCCTTCTTGTCTGAAGATGTGATGACTGGAACACCAATGACTATCTTATAACCCTGAGGCAAAGCTATGCTTAAAACTTGCCTGTTAATGTTATAGAGGTTTATATCTTCCCACCTTCATATAATCCCTAGAGAGCACCCGCGAACAACAGACTAGGAAATTTCATTGATTCAGCTTCCCAGATATTTCTAAAATATCTCAAGCCTTCTACTCGGTCTCCCTCTTAGATTATTAGCTGTAAACATCTCCTGAGCTCGTCAGTGATGGCATCCTCCTACTTGATCTACTCCATCCTTTAGTTCTTTAGATCAGATGTCCTTGGGACCACCTCTACCTTGGGTATTCCACCTGGGTCTTATTTTGGGACATATAAAGATTGATGCCATAGGTTCTGACCTTCATACTATCAGGTTTAACCCCCAAGGTCAAAGCACTGAGTGCCCCTGGCCTCTTCATCCCCCACTAGGACATCACTCCACTGCAAGTGGTTCTGCCCAACACTGCCCTGCATCTTAAGGCGCTGCTGGATTTTGAGGATAAGGATGGAAAAAAGATAGTAGCAGGAGACGAATGGCTATTTGAGGGACCGGGTGAGTTAACTGTCCATTGGGAGAGGTCGGGGTCTTTGGTTGGGGTCAGGGTCTTTGCCTTCCCACCATCGCCCTGACCTCTTCCTATCCTCAGCTTCTGTTCCATCTCCCCTTTCCCAGGCACGTACATCCCCCGGAAGGAGGTGGAGGTTGTGGAGATCATTCAGGCTACTGTCATCAGACAGAATCAGGCACTGAGGCTGAGGGCCCGCAAGGAGTGCTTGGACCGGGATGGCAAGGAGAGGGTGACAGGTGGGGACTCCAAGGGACACTGATGGTGGGTGGGCAGGAGGGACTTTGCTTGCAGGGGAGGCAGGAAAGCCACTTGTAGCCAGAGGGCAGTGCTTCCCTGGTTTCTCTTTTCTTTTTAAGGGCTAGGCTACAGCTCAGTGGATAGAGTGCTTGCCTCGTGTGCTCAATGCCCTGGGTTTGATTCCCAGCACCAGAAAAAACACACCTTTTTTTAGTAGAGCATCATAGCTATGCATAGTAACTGAGTTCATTTTTTTTTTAATGAGAGAGAAAAGAGATAATTTTTTAAATATTTTTCAGTTTTAAGTGGACACAACGTCTTTATTTTTTATTATGTGGTACTGAGGATCGAACCCAGTGCCACGCGCATGCCAGGCAAGCACTTGAGCCACATCCCCAGCCCTCGGTATTTCTTGAACTGTGGAGGGCTGTCCAGCACTGGCTCTGCCCCAGCCCTGATCTGTGATCATAAGCACATGGACATGGCCTTTCCCTCTCCCACCCTTCACCATGAGCTGTGGGCAGTGGCCAGGTCTTATCTGATTCTGGATCAACAATGCAGAGGTTCAAATACAGTGAACAAATGCAGCCAAGTGCATTACGGGATGTGGATCAAAATGCTTTACAAATTGTGGCTTATTGAGTCCACCAACAACCTAGATATGACTTTCCCATCTTCCATATGGCAAGGCTGAGGCACAGAGATCCGGTGACTTGCCCAGGATATGTGACCAGATGGGGCAAGGCTGAGGCTTGGGCGTCCTTGCTGCTCCAGGAAACATAAAGGATACCCACAACTCGACTAGAGGCACCAGGGTACCAGGGATTGAACTCGGGGTTACTCAACCACTGAGCCACACCCCCAAATATATTTTGTATTTTAGAGACAGGGTCTCACTGAGTTGCTTAGTGTCTTGTTTTTTTTTTGTTTTAAGGTTGAAAGAGGAGAGAAGGAAAATTTTTTAATATTTTTTTTTTTTTTAGTTTTTGGCAGACACAACATCTTTGTATGTG